CGGAGCTAGAGAAGGTTCAGAAGAGAGCAACTAAGATGGTCAGGGGGCTGGAGCAGCCAGGAAAGGTTGTGACATGTGGGGCTTTTTAGTCTAGAAAGGATGCAAATGAGAGAGGACATGATGGAGGTGCACAGAATTATGTAGGGTGTGGAGAAAGTGGAGAAAGAGAAGCTATTTTCCCCTTCACCAAATACCAGGACCAGAAATTACTCAATGAAATTGAATCCTGGAAGAATCAGGACAAAGGATACACACACACACACACACACACACAACACATAATTCAACTTTGGAATTCATTACCCTGAGATGTGGTGCTGGCTGCCAGCTTGGCTGGCTTCAAAAAAGGATTGGACCAATTCATGGAAGTCTTGGGGATCCCTGGCTATTAGCCTTGATGGCAGTGGGACTGCCCTGAAGACCATCTGCTGGGGGACTGGTGGGCTTCCTTGGGCAGTTGGTTGGCCACCGGGAGAACAGACTGCTGGACTAGATGAGCCGGGGACCAATCCAACAGAGCATGGCTTATGTTCTTACATTTCCTGACAGGAGAAGCCAAGACTACCCCTCTTCTTTGGGGAAAGAATGAGATGATGCTTAGCTCAACATGAACCAAAGAATAAAACTAACAGGTGGGTAAAGGAAGTGCAACTCCATGCCTAAGAAAAAACCAGATGGGCAACATTGGTAGCCAATCATATTGTACTAAACCAAGGATTGTTTTAATCATGATTGGTTGAATTAGTTCCAAGGGCTGGATGCATACAATATACTAAGCCAAAACCAAGCAATCAACATTACACTTTAGCATATATCTGAACCAGCTATGGTGTCCTTCACAAAATTTGACCAACAGAAGGACAATTTCAGAAAACAAAGTATTCATTATGCAATAGTGTTATTGTGCTTCACAGCAGGGTTTTCAGTGATATAAAACTACAGGGGGAGGAGTAGCTAAAGGAATATAGCAGCACAAAGATGTTTCTTCAGTGCAAAGCTATATGTTAATCATTTGCTTAAAGAAAATGAGAATGCATAAGATAGTCCCCTTATTTTGAAAGAAAAGTTATTGCAAATATATGTTCATAGTCTGGATCAAGACACCCTTCACAATTCAGATTTTATAGGCAAAATTATAGCTGCAGATGGTTTTGGTTGAGGACCCTAACCCTAATCTAATCCACTTTTTAGGTTGGAATCTCCCGTTGACCTTATAGACATGTTCATGAACTTTTCTTGCAACGATATAGAAGCAGTATAGTTTTGCCTTCTGGATTATTTTGACTTCCCAGCTAACCAGCGGTGCAAAAGACAGTGTTCCTTTTACACTTTGGAAGGGTTATTAGTGTGTACAATTTAGCACACTAGGGACCAGGCAAGAGCCTTAGAGGAACAATCAGAATCAAATCATGATTGCTAAAAAAGACCTTTTATCTACCTTAGCTCTGGGTATAGGAGTACCTCAGCTTTTGATCATCTTAATGCATGACCAAGGAAAGGTATATAGTAGGACTGAATTCAAAGCTGGGATGACCTGAGCAGGGGTGTCCACAGAATATGGTCAAAAAAGTCAAGATGGCAGCTGAAACAGTGCAATTGAAGCTCTGCCCTGTTTTCTTATGTGACCTCTTTAGACCAGCACTGGGGAACACCAAAAGCAAAATAAGCAAAGTGTACCTATTTTAAATCCGATTTGTGCATTAGGTGTCCATAAGTTCCCTCCAGGTGATTCCTTATGACACTGGCACCAACAGCCAAAAAGCCACAAGCTAAACTCAATTTGACTTTCAGCTACTGGCTACCTCCAAATCTCAATTTGTAAAAGAAGAGTTGTGTTTATTTCAGAAACAAGCATGAGTAGCCCTCAAAGAGGAAAAAAATAATAATAACCCCTCTCTCCAAAGAACATGCCAATCCACTGATTGTGATGAATGTCAAGATGGCAATTGACTAATTGATATTGAGCAAGGATTGCCAATATACAAAATGCAAAAGCAAAAGCAAAAGGAAAATGGCTTTTCAAAACAGAAAAGCTGCTTCACTATTTCTGCTGAGTGACCCTACTGCTGCATTTTGAACCATCTGAAGCGTGCCTGGTCTTCTCAGGCAATTCTTTGTGGAAGACCCTGGGGTAACTTCATCTGGTCCCTCCATCCCACAGATAAGCGCCACCCCGTTGGCACCATACCGGTAATTCATTTATTGATGCAAACGGACCTTTCTGTAGAACTGCAGAGAGTGGCACAAACAAGTGAGTTTTAATCCCTCCCCTACGGGGTGCTCGTTTCCGGAGGTTCAGGCGATAGGAAGATTTGCTATTCCTTTCGGAGTTTAACCCGGGGGGGCAAGTTGCAGTTTCGATGAGCTGTAAACAGCATTCAGAATGCTCTTCAAAATGCACGTCGAGATGCAATTTAAATTCTAAAGGCCGAGGAGACGCTGTAACAAATCTAGAGCGATTCTGTATTGTAACGGCTTTTCTGGGCAGCAGTTCAATTGGAAAAACTTTTTCTTCCATCAGCCTTATTGCTAGGTTGCTTCTGCCCTCCAGTGGAAAAGACTGAATATATTTTTCCAGTGATTTTTGCACGCCTTCTCTCCTCTCCACCTCAACCACCACACACAAATAGCTACCATCACAATAGGGTGTATGTATGCAAAAGGAGGTCCTACTACAGGTGTTCCATGGGGTATAAGAAAAAAAAGTCAAGGTGGAGACCATGATGGTGGGATCAACCCCCTGCCTGGTTTTTATGTGAGTTACACATAAGACCACGATGAATGCTCTCTTGATGCTTTTGACTACAGCCTATAGATATCCTTGCCCTACCATGTAAACATAGCTGAGAACTATTGAACTTCTTTATGTCTACTGCAGGTAGATACCAAAAGCTCCATTTGCAGAATATTTGTGATGTGGACTAAAGTAAATTTCTCTCAAGTCCATACTTCAACTCACAACCCAGCTATCTCTTCTCTGGGCAGAAGCAATGCTTGCAATAAATAAATCCAATAAGAACATTGCAGTTATGCAGCTGGAAGCTATCTTCTTTTCTAGCCACCATGAAGAAGAGTTCCCAGACCTTTGCCCAAACATCTTCCATTCTATTGACCATCTATTTTTAGTGGTGGATTCAAAGCTGTACAACTTAAGTGGCTGTGAAAATAAGGTCTCTGAGGAGCAAAAAGACTTCCTCAAGGCAGCCTGATGAGTCTTCTCGGAGACTGTTATGTTTACACAACACACTCAATTGTTCATTGAATAATCTATTCTCTAGATTCATATAAATTCATTAAATAAGCTAACAATGCAGCTGCTTGGTTTCCAACTGGCTTGGTGGAGTGTATTGTGTAAACACAACAAAGGAGACTTTTGTTGAGGTAGGGCAAACCAGAACTGTACTTTGTGTTACCCTAACACATAAATACTTAGACTAAAAATCTCTTTGTGGAGATCGGAAGCCTGAAGAAACTACAGACCTGTGTTCATTTCACAAAAATTACTGAAAGCTACTGGAGAATGTCTGTTCCGCGTATAAAGCAATTTAATATTACTACACTCCATACAAGAAAGTATTCTTACCTAAGGAAGAAAAAATTCTGTGCACTTTTTGCACTAATGTTGCCATTAATCAAAGTTTTAAACTTCACTTTGCATAGTGAAACCATTAGCAAAGTCACGAGACAAAATCTTGCAGTGAAAAGAAAGAACATTAAAAGAGCTTTTAAAGAAAATCTCAATAAATGGCAGCATCTGGCCAATATTGTCAGGATAGAAAGCTAAGCAGGTTTGAGCCCTGGTAGGAATCAAGGGTTGTGAACAAGACTAGAAGTGAAAAAAATTCCAGAAGAGCAGGATTTTTAAAATGCATTTATTACTGGTGCTTCTGTGCTGTTCTTCCACCAAACAGTTCCGAGCAGCAAATGGCAAATCCATATTGCTGCCAATAAATCCAGAGATGTCATCAGGTGTCCAGCTCAATTGGAAGGAGACTTAACCTTCAGCAGGTGCAGCACCTGATATGGGGAACAATTTTAAACAAGATGTTTGGATGGAAAATGTCCGGGGCGATAGACTTGACTGAGAAATTAAACAAAACACCCGGGAGAAGGCAGTTGCAAATCACTTTTCCATACACTTGCCAAGAAAGCCAAGTGCTAAGAAATTCTATAGATTCACCAAGAATGCAGCTCGACTTAAAGGAGGCTTTATTACTGCTACTAGACATCCCATACAATCCAACAGAGTCAGCGTGCTTCAAATCCCATTGATCAAGCAATGTCAACTGGTAGGAACCAAGAACCAGGCCTCCTCCATTGTAGTGCCTGCCTTCTGGAATAACAGCCCCCCTCCCCGAGATTCATCTGGCCCCCATCCTAATCTCATTCAGATGATCCCTTAGGCCTCTTTTCCCAGGCCTGGGACTAGAGTGGGTGGCAAGCCCCTTGTGGGCTGTCCGGTCTGCAAGATGGTGATTGTTATTCTTGCCTTGTGCAGATTGTTTTATTTTACACTTTGTATACTGTGTACCGCCCAGAGCCATAATGAAGTCAGGTGGTTTATAGATTCAATGCAATAAAAAATAAAATGTTACTTAAAGAAATTATTAGAAATGACTCCAGAAAGATAGATTGTTTTATTCTCCTTAAAGAAAAACATTGCAAGTCAAAACACACACTCACAAACGCACGCACACTTCACTCAAAATTATCTGCTTTAAAACCTTACACAAGTAAGAATTAGGACAAGAATTTTGAAATATGCTTTAAATAACTCTCCCCTAGATGCTGCCAGTCTGTCGACAAGAGAAACCTTCAGGTTATTTTATCGTTCATTTTTGATATTATTGAAATAGAAGGTCTCAAAGAAGCTACATCCAAAAGTTCAGCAAGACCATTTGGGGAGGCAGGATGTAGAGGAGGGAAGTGAGCCTTTTTGGAACCGGGCAGCATATCAGCAAAGTCAAATAAATAAATAAATCATCCCAGTATTTACTCAAGTCCTTGTTTGGTTCCTGTTCCCTCCTCAGGCAGAGTCTTCCTGGGCCAAAAGAGTTCATCGAGAGGAAGGATCAGCGGCTGAACATTCTGAAAAGGCAAGAAGTTCCCTCGTGATATGCTTGCCGGTTATTTCTCAACTTTACCTTGCACTTGGGAGGAATGAATGGCAGCTCATAATTTGTCTGTAACACTTCTGCCCAATTTTTCAGTTGTTATCCCACCCTCAAGGCAATGTGATATAGCAATGAAGGCTTAACAAGTATTGAATAGGGGAGTCTGCTGGGTGAAGCAGATCAATCTCATTCAAAGCACCCTGGGCTAGGCTGGTGGGCAGGAGTAGACTATGGTAGCCATCTTTGAGCTACCCAACTAAGTGCCCAACAGTAATGGAAGGGAAAGCTGAAGGAAGTGTCTCTCCACCATGGCCCTCAGGCATAGCATACCAGGCCTTGAAAGTCTACATTAAGTACTACTTATTAGAGGACACACTGTTTTATACCAGTAGAAGGAACACAAATCAAGAATATCTTTGTTCAAGTTTAAGTTAGCCCCATAACAGCTGAATCCTATGAGAGTCTATCACTATTTAGCTTCCCCACCTGCTTTACCATGTTTGGAGACTGCCAACCTCTCTTTTCTTAAGGGCTCAGTGCTTTGCCTACCTTTCAAATCAGGACAAGAACGCCTTCATACTGTCCCGAATGGTTCCTCTGCAGATGGGGCAGCGGCTCAGATTAGGAGCACATTCAGCACATACCACTAAGTGGCCACAAGGTACCAGCACAATGGACACATCTTTGTCCATGCACACCTTGCACATCCGTTCCTCCTGAAGCCGACGCAGTTTCTCTTCCACGCTCGTGGCAGATGCTGAAAAGAGGGAGGAGATAGTTCAGGAGGCAATCCATTGTAGCTAGTCGGATTGCTCTGGGCTGCAATCTAGGAATACAAGATAAACTGGTGAAGTTTGATTGCAGTATTAATGAGCTCCACCTTAATTTATGGGGAATACATTGGGGTATCATTTATGCAGATAGTCAGACAGCCACATCCCATTTTTTGTGATGGAAAGTGGTCATATGAAACTATTGTTTTGCATAAAAAATCCTAACTGGATTCACTAAAATAGTATATGCCAACTTTATCCACTGGATGTCATTTAGATAAGTTGGACTGCAAGTCCCATCATTAACCATGTTGTCTAGGAGTGATGAGAGCCATAATATATTGCAGTGTTTCTCAACCTCAGCAACTTTAAGATGTGTGGACTTCAACTCCCAAAATTCTCCAGCCAGCACATTAAGCAGCATGAGGCTGGAGAAGAATGCTTTGCAGTAGAAGAGTTATCCTATGTAAGAACAGTGCTTGTTCCTATGCCTCTAAGAAGAAATAAAAATAAGCTATTATAGGTAGTGGAAGGAAAGAAAAGAACAGGAAGACCAGCATCAGGGTGGATGGACCCAATTATAGAAGTAATGGGTGCACTGCTGGAAGACCTGAAGGACAAGGGTGGGAACAGGTCCTTCTGGAGAAAATCTATGTGGTTGCTAACAGTCGACACTGACTTGATGGCACATCATAATTATTCTAGATTCATACATTTTGTTTGATTTAGACTTAGGGCATTTCCAGGCTGTCAGGGTTTCACTCCTCAAACTCCCCAAGCAGTATGAAAGCAATCTGCAGTGATTCTGCAACTCTTTCACTGATTTGAAATGCTGAGAACATTTCAGATCAAATCAACATAGCAAATATCACTGTCTTGGTCCTTCAATCTGATCCCACATAAAGGAAATTAAGAAAAAGAAACCCAGCAACCTGGCACCTGCTGAAGAGAAAGAAGCAACTAATTAAAACACTTGTCAACATCACTCCTGCTCCTTCTGGCTTTGTTACTGAATGGAAGTAAAGCTATCAAGCTAACATTTCATTTACAAGACTTGAAGCCCAGGATCCAGGGAGAAGGTCAAAGCAAGAGCACCAAAGACAAAAATCCACCCAGTTTTGTAGCAGTTTCAACTATTTTGCAGCTAAAACAGAAATTGTTTAGCTTAATTCTGTAATGCGGATGACACCATGGTGACATAGAGAAGAAGAGATGCTTTCAAACTAGTCTGGAATATTCATGTGGGAGCACCCAAAGTCCTGAGCAATTTCAGTCATTTTATTGCAAGTAGTAGCTAAAAGATACTAGTAGCAAGTAATAGCTAAGGCAGCCTGTTATTCTTTCATTTGCAATTGTTCTCCACCTACATGGATCTTTACCTGGCTCATGTGCACATTCTACTTCTGTTTGTCTTCTCACCCTCCAAGGATCTGGTTCTGGTTCTCTTTCACAAGACTCTGTGTGGAGACATGGACACAACAGAGTGCATTAGAAGGCAATACTTAGAAGGATATCTGCCTTAGTCCAAAGGAAATTTTGACTAAGACACTTGAAGTTATCTAAAATAACCCCCTATCAATTCAATGTTGAAAAGATACCATCAGAACAAACTTCCGATATGCACGTTATGTTGAAACACTCCAGCCAGAAGCAACAAGATCCCTTCCCTTGATTTTGGATTATTCGCACATGCGTACTCAACACTTCCATCAACAGTGATTTTCATTTCTGTTGGAGGCAAACACTGCAGAGAACACAGTGACTTCTTGGAAACAATGGCATCAATGGAGGAGAGGCCCATAATGGATAATTATCCACTGTTGTATTTTTCTTTAGAAGTTTCTGTATCTGCTGTTACAGCTAAAGCTGCCAAGAAAACTGTAGCTTAGGAAAGAATCCACATGAGACACGCACATATTCTTCAATTAACAGCAATTTGGGTACGTTACGCTGGTGTATCAAAAAGAGTTCAAAGATTTTTTTAAAATGCACACTGTACAGCTATGTAAATTACAGGTTTCCAGTATACACATTTTCTGTATCAAGTTTTGACTTTGTCTAAATATAATACTTAAGCTGCATTACATGGAACTTTGAGTTTGTTTATCCCAATCAAGTACTTCAATGCGACTATTCTCTCCATTAGCTCATTTGAGATATTTATAAAAACTTATTGGTTCAGATTGCAAGGGGAAAGGGGGAGGCATTACCACTGTGAGTTCTCATCCCCAGATCCCCTCCTGCTAAGATGACGAGGGGGCTGACCTAGTCCATGTCAGTCCATATATGGAAACACACATGCATAATCTATGAACTGCAAGCCAGCATGGTAATGCAGCCTTCAGAATGGGAGAAATTACCTACACTTTTATTCAGCGTCAAACAAAAATGGGAAGCCTTTGTTTTGTTACACCAGTAAAGACAGAATTTTCCAGATTATGTTCACAGATAAACTAAATGACATGAAACCAATGGAAAGAATAGAGCTCAGTAGTGTCCATGAGAAAATGTTTTTACTTGCAGAGAATACTGAGCAGAATTACACCTCTTTGTCTATGCAAGTTTATTGAATGGGTCTTGTTGATAATGAGAACACAAACCCTTATTAGAGAGACACCATGCTGGCATTCTACTTACACATTTTATATAACAAACATGCATTGGAAATCACTAGAGGATAGTTGCTCATCTTTTGGAAGGCTTTAGGCGGCACTTGGCATTTAGAAGAATGTCAGGTATTATGATCACCCCAAATGATTGAAGCCAAGATAAAGAAAGGATGGGGTCAGCACAACTACATTTAAATCTAAGCATACTTAAAACTGAGGTATATACAGCTGCTATGGTCACTATTCAACTTCAACTCAAATAAGGAAATCAAGCTTTGTACAACTTCTGAAGGAGCTTGGTGGGCCAGGCCTGAGGGCTTCTTGACCTGGAGCCCCAGGTAATACTGTTCTGCACTAAAGAGGTGATTCAGTGTTCAAAAATTATGGGAAGTTGGTCTCTAGGGAAGCCACAGAAAACACAAAGACAGTGAAGTGTGCTTAATGCCACACTAAGGAGCAAGACTTTACAAGCAAATATGCTACATATGGCTTACAGAAAAGGAATGTGGGGTGGTCCTATGATGGCCTTAAAGCTTATTTCTCCAAGCTTCAGCACCCCATCATTAGAATGACACTAACCTGTCCCACAGTGTCCTTATCTTTACTGTAATAAGCATTCTGAGCACTACAAATATTATCATAAGATCAGAGCGGATGAAGGTTGGCCATATGTCTTGTGTCCTCTGCCTGGCTGCTCTTTTGATCCTATACTGCCTGAAGCAAATATGGGACTGTTCAGACACAGTTGGATAACTAGTCTCCATCTCTTGGTATTCAGCCTCAGGCCCACCGCCAGGATGGCCCATCAAGAGGTCATTTTGCATCATGGTGATCAGGTGGGGAGAAACTGATTCTAGGTTTCCCATCCTATCCATAAGATCAGAGTGGAGTAATGACAGAAAGCTGGCTCCCATTGCAGTTAAATCGCAAGTTCTGTACTACCAAGCAAGCTAAACTAAAGGGGATTTATTTGCTTTATTTATTTATTAGCTATCAATGCATTTTCTGGATTAGTATTCTTGCCTAAATTCTCAAAATATTTAACCCTTCCATCTTATCTCCTTCAGATTTGATAACTATCACTGTGCTGTGCTACTCAGAAATGTTCCTTTCCTTGAGCCCTAATTTTTGCATTCAGTGCTTCTTGATAATAGATTATGTTGCAGTTTCTTAAAGATGAGACAATTAGTCCTTCTTTACCACTAATATACTGTTGTTGATACTGAGTATCCACTTTATGATAACAGGGTGGGCACAAGTAATCCATATGGTATCCTTACAGGGTAATTCTAAAATGTAGGATTGTGTCATAAAGTACAAATAGCACTGGGGTATCCAGCTTGAGTTAAAAGATAAAGTTGCCCGAGATGTCAGAACTAATATTAACGGTACTAAAATTAAGCAAAACATAAATCTGTTCTATAAGACCACCTACCATGAGGGCTTTCAGGATAGTCTTCAGACCAATGCAAGTTGTCTTCCTGAAAACCAAGGCAAGATAGGTGTCACCAAGGAGAAAATTGTATTTATTTCTAAAGTATACAGCCACCAAACTCACAGATTCTGAATGGCATACAGATTAAAAACAGATGTAATACCTAAAAACAAAAGGTGAACATAACAGTAAAGATAAAACGGGGGAACAGACTTACTTTAACTGAAACAGACACTGCATGCTAGATGGGCAATTCCCTGACCTATCCCAGGGCCTGGGGGAAAATGGATTTTCAGAGACTGTTTAAAGCTTGCAGGTTGGGGCAGCCTGAACCTTTGGAGCGATACTTTCCCAAAGGGCAGAAGACACACTCCCTAGGCTCCATCAGATAACACTGCTTAAAGAAGGGGACACAAAAGGTTCCCACTCTGTCAGATCTTACAGAGATGGCAGAAATGTGATAGAGAGGCAGTCCCTGGGATGATGATGATTTATTAAATTATATGCTGCTGACTCCCAGTTACTCTGGGCTAACTGGGCCCTATGCCATGAATTATAGGTGACAACCAGCACCTTGAATTGCACCCAGAACCTCATTGGTAATCAATGCAACTTGCATAGCAGAGGTGTTACATGGGCATACCAGATGCCCCCATAACTGCTTGTGGTGCTGCATTCTGGACCAGTTTCCAAGTGGTCTTGTAGGGCACATTGCAATAATCCCAATGCAAGGTGACCAAGGCATGCTCCCACCCTATTCATAACCAAGATGGAGAATATCCAGCACCAGAAGAACTGTGCACCCATAGCCACTCACTATTCTCAGAACTGAGTTTACGCCTGTTCAATCCCATTCAGAGCTAAGCAGCCTCCAGGCACTGGGACAAGGCCTTGATAGAATAATCCAGTCAAGATATACAAGGGTTGAAATATACATCCAAGTATCATCAGTGTACTGATGATACCTGACCCTATGTCATGGGGTGATCTCATCCATCATATATGTAGATACTAAATGGGAAGAGTGAGAACACTGAGCCCTGATGCACCTCACAAAGCAGGAGCTTTGGGCTGGACCTCTCCACCCTGACTGGAACTAGACAGAGAAAGAGTAGAAGCACTACATCACCATGCCTCCCACTCCCTAAGCCTTTCCAGGAGGATACCACAATCAGTGGTATCAAAAGCTGCTGAAAGATCAAGAACAACCTGTACAGTTGCACCACCCCATCCCAGCTCCACTAAAGATCAACAAGTGCAATCAATGCTTCCTCAGTACAATGCTCCAGCCTGAAACCCGGCTAAAATCGGTCCAGATAATCCACTCCTTTCAGGGCTTTCTAGAGCTGTAATCCAATCACCTTCTCAACAATCTTATCCAAAAAGGAAAGGTTGGCGATAGGATGAACATTCTCCAGAACTGTTGTATCCAGCAAAAGCTTCCTGAGGAGGGGGCTCACCACTGCCTTCTTCATGGCAGGCAGAACTACTTAAGAGTGAATTTACCACATCCTGGACCCAATCATGCATCACTTCCTGGGAGGCCTTAACCAACAAAGAGGGACATAGATCTAAATCACAAGTGGCTGGACTAACAGGCCCTGTGGATTTCCTCAGGTGACAAAGAGTCATTTCCTAGGTAACAAGATTGGACTTTGGGCCTGACCAGTCAGAGTCTAACTCAGACTGGAGAGTTAGCCACACAAGATCTGAGTCAGTATCTGCCAAATGCCTAAAATACTTCTCGTAATGGCCATGTCCATATTCTTTTGACCTAACCCCTCCCCAAGTAAAGAATGGGTCATTTTCAACAGAGCCACTGACCAACTATCTGTGGATGGAAGAAATACATTTTGCTGTTCTTATTGCCACTATGTAATTCCTAATACGACTTCTTACATGTGTAGTCAGATTCACTCTTTGTCTTTCTCGAATGGGGCTCAAGGTGTGTCTTCTGTTTTGTTTTTTTTATCCCTTGAAGCTCATCAGAAAACCAGGGAGGCCCAAGAAATTGACAAACCAGGAGAGGCCATATAGGAGCAATCCAGTCTGAGATCCTTATCACTTCTCCCTTCAGACAGGGACAAAGGCCTTGATTGAATTGTCCACATCCACAGGGGAAAAAAAAGAAGCTTCCTCTGGAACCCATCCAGATCATTAGTCATCCAGAACAGACCAATTAAATAGGTCCTAACTTCCTATATGGAAGGGCAGCATCAGCAAGCCAAACAGCAGTTGAGAGATCTGAGCATGACAAAGGAGTGATGGTAATATCCTCTACCTTCAGATCATGTTGCAGTTGCTTGGAGATAAAAAAAGATCTAGCATATGACCACCTGTGGGTGTTGGGCCCTCAGTAACTTGATCAGGTCTATGATTGCCGTAATGGCCATGAACCCCTAAGACATACCAGAGTGTATGCTACATGAGGCCAATTAAAGGCTCCCAGCACTGTCAGTCTTGGAGACTCCACTGCCAGCTCAGTGATAGATTCAAGCAGTTCAAGCAAGGATGTCCTTGTGCAACAAGGAGGACATAACAGCAGCCACAAGCCCAATTGTTCCCTGGAGCCCAAACTTTAGAACTACAGAATCTTGCATTCAGTTATCTGCACTGCAGAGCTTCCAAAACTTCCTGGATGACAAATTGTCACCCCACCCCGGGATCACAGCTGGTGTCAAACCCAAAACCCTGCTTGGTATATCTCAGAGAGGAAGAACCCACCCAAGTCTTTGATTATACATGCCAGATTAGCCACCTCACCCACAATAAGATAAGGAAGAGGGGAGCCCATTACACACCCAGACATTTAACATCATCAGGTATTATTTCAGCTATAGTCATACAGAAGACACATGCACACTCACCGACACCATTAGATTAGATTCTTGGATGTGATTTATGAAATCTCTCCCTCTGGATTGTAGCAGAAATGCACATCTATGGAAGTGGGGGGTAAGAGGGGAAGGAAGAAGATTGAGAAAAGTTTAATTCTAAATACTGTTTGCTATTTAGTGTCAAATTGCAACTGAGGGGTATAAAAAGTTATCTTCCATTCGATCACCCATTAACAGTGCAATCCTGTAAGTGACTAATTGGAAGTCTCATGGAGTTCAATAGGGCTTGTTCCCAGAGTATAAAACTAATATGTTTTCAGCTGGATACTTCAGCCATACCGTGCTTTAGCTTTTCATCCTCTTAACAGAAAATTCATTAAACAAATTTGCAGCAGATGATTCCGGTACTGCCCTCTGAAAGCTTCTGTGGAGTTTTTCATTCTTCCAAAGAGAAAACACCAAATATGTTTGAGGCCGGTTACTTATATTGAACTTCCATTTGTGAAACAATGAATCACAATGGAAGTATTTCTGGATGATACAGTCAAGTGTAACATTAATTCTTGATTTACATTTCCAATTTGTATTCTGACACAAAATACTCAGTAAAACTGCCATATGACAGAAAGACAATAAACACATCTTACTGCTATGAAAAAAACCAATTTCATAATTTTTCAACTGGAGCAGATTCATGAGAGGCAAAACACTACATATTAATTGGATTCACATTACAGCGAGCTGTGAGTTGTCCTAAATATAGGCTATTGAATAAGCCATAATGGTTGAATTCACAAAGCATGATGAACCAAATCCAAACAAAGCATTGCACGATTGGTACAATCCTTGAATCCATGGGCATTGGGTCAGTGTGCTTTTTTTGCCTATTATCAGTTACATCCAAGAGATATTTGAACTTCAGGGTCAAAAAAGTCTGTCCATGTCGGTTCCTACAAGACTTGGAGGGTGGAAGGAAGGAAAAAAGTGTACATCAGAATGTATCACCTTGGAAACCACCTGGCATGCTCTGTCCAGGGATCATCTCCTTGTTCCCAGTTCCTCAGTGCACCATCACAGTAGAAACACCGCACATAATCTTGCTGGCCTGAAAACATCCATGATTAAAAGATCACATGTTGGTCAACAGCAACAGAAACAAAAGATTGCCAGATGCTTGAAGATGCCATGACCCCCACTCAGAATTGAAATTATTGTAAGGATTAAGCACTACCATCATTGCTGCAAGTTTTGCCAGGAGATAGAAAACTGCTGCAACAGTTAGTGCTCTCCCTCTGGCTGGATGGATACGATTTTTCTGGGAGGGTCCAGTAAAAGTAGCAAGCAAACAGAACCAAGAACAATGCAGAATTCAGGGAATCAACTCAACCTATCTTTATATTCATTATGGGGTGACAAGGCCAGATTCACTCTTCGCTCAGGACAGCAGAAGCCTACTGTCTACATAAAGTCATGCAGAATTAAGAATTTCCAGCATGGAAAGTGTGGGGAAGGAGAACACAGGTAAACCAGGCAGATTGATTTCTCTTCCCAGTGACCAAAGCCTGAATTATCCTCCACTTTAGTTTGTTTTGATATTTCAACAAGCACTTACAAGCATGCACACCATTACCAAACTGTTGCACCTAAGAGTTCAGAACTGATGGTGGGTTAAAGGAGAAAATTTTGCACCCACAATTTCACTTCCATAGAAAAATCCTTGCCTTTTTAGCAGCAGAGTAAGATGTTTGTTATTGTTCACCACCCAGAGTCACTAGCTGAGATGGGCAGCTTTACAAATTGCTTAAATAAATAAATATTCAACTGTACTTCTGCAGCTATGGCTATGTGTTATTTTCCATAGGGCGCCCAGTACTTAGAATGGGAAAACGTATTGCTCCTCTGGAAGAAAGGGTTCCTCCCAGAGGAATGACAAAGTGTACAAAGCCTTCCATGGCTTAGGCCCAAATTGCCAACTACTCTCATACAGTCCACTCTCTGCTCTTTAACAGGGCATCATTTGCAGGTTGCTGTAAATCCTAATGGCAATTGTAAATTCTGCTTTTTCACAGCATTCCTTTAGTGTAAGCTTCCGTTGGAACTGAGAGAGGTCTTCTTTTTGTAATAGCTTAGGAGGGGTTTAAATCTTATATTTTTACCCAGTTCGGAAAAAAGGAGAGAACGTTTTAAGCTGCTGAGAGACAGTGGAGATTTGAGAAGTACAACAATGCTGTTCATAGAGAGCCATCCCCAGTGTTTTCCAGCCAAACCTTCAATGGCTTTGAAGAAATTAAGCACATTGTAGAGAATAAACTGAATCTAGACTTATTAGTTAAGGAAACAAAAACAGACCTTATATATTCAAAGGCATCATACCTCTTCATATAAAAGAGCCAGGCTAATATAGTGGTTAAGGTGCCAGATTAGAAACTAGGAGTTCTAGATCTCCTTAAGGCATGAAAGCCAACTGGGTGACACTGCACCAGTCACTCTCTCTCAATCCAAATGAAAGCAGAATATACATTTAATAATAAAGAAATAAAAATAAATACAAAATAGAGTATTAATAAGGCTACCAGTTTCATGCCCTAAGTTTCCAGGAATAATGTAAGCAACACATTAACATAGATGGAACCTTGGTCTTACCCAAAAAAAGCAGTTCTCATTTCCTGCCATACCTGTATAGAAGAAGCCAGCTCTGGCCAACAACTCAGGAGACACAGGAACATAAGATGGCCAATTCTCAAATGTCACCAACCGATCCCCTTCTGTCTCCATATATGGGTATTCTGGTTGACCACCTACAGTGGTCTCCTCCACATTTAAACTTTGTAACATGCCAAGAAACTGGCCATCTACACAGTCCTGGGGCTCTTCAGCCCAAGGCATCTGTTGGCAGTTTCCTACAATTTTGCCCTGGGCAAACAGGCACGCTGGGAAGAATTTCTTGTGCTCTACCATGGGATCCTCTTCAGGTAACCAATTGTATAACAATCCACCACAGCAGAAACACTGGACAGTGTCAGCAGGACCAACAAAATAAAAACCAGCAGCTGCCAGATCAGCTGGAGAAACAGGAACACTTGCTGGCCAGAGCTGAAATGTCCGTAGGCGTCTTATCTCTGACTTCATGCTGGGTCTTGACCAATGCAATGGTGTCCACTGAGTATCCTCAGAAGATGAACTGCTTCCCTCATCCTGGGTTCCCTCTGGAGAAAAGCTGTCCCCCATTTCCCAGCTGCTGGAGAGGAGATTAGTCAAAACATCAGCAACAAGCTGGGCACCCGATGCAATGAAATGTTCTGTCACAGTAGCAGCCTGCATTTCTGAACCCTCTTTGACTCTGCCAACTGTGAATTCTGGAAAACTCTGAACTCAGAGGCCAAACAGACTCCTGAACAGCAGATGCAAATAGGATGCTGGATTTTCTAGAGCCTGCTGATTTGTTGTTGTTGGGACAATTATTGCCCTTCTGCCCAGTTCTTCTTGGGCCTGGAGAGGGAAGGAAGAAAAAGAGAAGCCTTTAAATCAAGCATAAAATCAGTTTGAGTGGGTACATTTGGAGACAAATTCAGCACCTCCAAAAGTAGCAGGAAAACTTTTTATGAAGAACCCATTTTTAGCCTTTTCATCCTTTGTGTATATGGTTAATGCCAGACAAAGAAAAGGATAGTCACTTGGTGACTCATTTCCTGAGTAATCATGCTTAGTGCTTATTCCATTTACAAAAGCATGAAATGTATAGAACAGTTTAGAAACCATTTTCACTGAATATTTCAGCTCCAATCCACTGAGTCCATATGCCAAAAAGAAAAAAAAGGGAGGAAGCACCTCATTCCTTTTAAAGGAAGCTGCTTTTCGACAGACAATCTACCATATCATGCAACACACCCAAGACAGTTAGCTACACTAATGACAAATCACTTCTGTATCAGTGGCAAGATTATAGGAATATATTCATTTAACAATCAGCAGTCACTCAACTCAAAATTTTTATTTTACCTTACACAGAAAAAGAAATAAATCTGAAAAGAAGTCTATTACCTCCAAAAACAGAATCTTGAATCTTTCCTTCTACCACCTACTAAAAACACAGCAGCCTGGTTCATATGCTGCAACTAGCCATAGTTTGTGGTTTACCAAATAAACCACAATTGATAGGATTTGTGATGTACACACATTTCACTGCACTCTTAAGCCTAGCATGCTTTGGTTTGAGTTTGCTTATCTTATAAACCACAGTTAAGCTCATTGTACAAAGCCAGCCAATTTTGTCTTGTGAAACAAATTGCATTGTAGCACAATTTGTAACTCACCTCAAGAATCAAACACATAGGTTACTTCCTCCTCCCTTTTTTTTCTTTTTGGCATGCGGACTCAGTGGATTGGAGCTGGAATATTAAATGAAAATAGTTTCTAATCTGTTCTATACATTTCATGCTTTTGTAAATGAAATAAGCACTAAGCATGATAACTATGTAGCTGCATATGGAACAAGCCAGCTATGCCTCAAACTTAAAACCAGTAACGCAAATAATTCAGAACATAGTACTATTATTCTAGTACTTACCTAACTAGAAAAGAACATACACAAAACAATTCTTCAGCCACAAACTAGAAACACATCTAGAACACTATCTTCTGGGCTGCCTTTAAATTCCTAACCCCACACTGGTAATTACTTGTGTAACCAATGAGCCATTTAAAGCTGCAAGCACTTTTCAGCCTGATTTATGGATACAAACCACTGTGGTGTGGTTTAGAGGTTAAAGTAACCAAGTATCTACCAGGAAGATCCAGATCCAAATCTTAATTCTGCCATGGAGTTTAGTGGGCAAACAATCTGGACATTTATGTTTGTCCTGGATATTTTGTCAGTTTCATGTGATGAAAGCATTTTACCAAAGTGCTATATAGATCAAGAAGCCTAGTGTTCTGCAGCATAAAATGATTTTAACATAAAGGAAAAAGTATACAATGACTATTTTCAGGACATTTTTAGAAACTCTATGACTAGTATTTGCCTATTAAATAAGATTAAAAAGAACACAAAAGCTATGCCTTGCCTTTGACTGAAAAGTCTGTCCAGTCCCTTCAAACCTCAGATCATTGGCAGCTGCTCATAACTTTCTTTTCTCAGGAATTGGTTGGGTACAGAAAACATCAAGGACTTTTTGCTACTGCTTTCTCCTACTAGAGGCATCCTAAAATATTTGCTGATGTTGTTCCAAGTTGGCTGATCTGCCCATGTCACGCATTGACTAGAGAAGGCCAGGTTGTAATAATACAATACTCTCCTGGAGGAGACCCACTTGTAATCTAGGATTACCATATCTGGGCTGCAAGTATCCAGACCGTGAAATGTTAGCAAAGAGATATAAACATCTTTGGCTCTTTGTTACGAATAGTCTTCTGGATTCTTTGCAGCCCTGATGTGATAGGTTCTTTTAACCCAGAGGAATGAAATAGGCTTCCTACGAATTGATTGTATGTATGGAGAAAACAGTCACATGCTGCTTTGGCTGATACAAAGTGTACAACTCTCCTTGGCATAACACCGTGGACTCAACAGCAACTCACTATTGAGTTATATGTCCAAACTACCTTCCATTTTCCTGTCATTCCCAGCAGCACCTATTAAAACTATGTTCATATCCAACAGATGATAAGGCTGAACTTTTTGGAGTATTAGGAAAGTTCAGTACAGTGTTATCAACACTTCTGTGTGAAGTAACTTGATGCTCTGGGATGACTTGGAACCAGGAACTTTTCCTGACTGTTTTGGCTGGGCTTGTACAATATATCAGCTGAAATGCGATCCACTGGTTAGTGTTGTGCAGATTTAGTCTATTAGGTTAACTGAGTAAACCAGGGTTTCTCAAACTGTTGGTTTGGACCCCCTTGGGGCTGGGGGGGGGGTCACATGTAAAACAAAGAAACAAACTGATCAAGCTTGTACAGGAAAGTGGGAACACCATCAGAACTTATTCTGGGCTTTGCTTTTTTCTGCCTGAAAAAGCCAATAATGCACAGTTGCTGTAGGGCAAACTCTTAAAAACCCATGTCATTATATAGATTAAAATTTAATTATTATTTAATCCACCCCAGTTCTGGAGGACTCGGACAGCATACAACAAATACAAACAAAAACCACGACCCTCTTTACAGTAAAGACATACTGTAATCAGAAAGCCAAAAAAAAAAAAAAAACTCTCACTCAAAATAGGCACCCACTACCAAACAGGGGCCAAAAATAAATATTATTAAAAGTAAGCCATACTTTCACTTGCTGAGCTCTAATGACATTATTAGTTTTATTGACACAAATGCATTTATCATTTTAGGGGAGAGTGGTGCTGCAAAGTTTGAGAACTGCAGTAAACTATGGTTTAATAAGCAATGGCTTAGCCGGTTGTGCAAATGCAGCCATTAGGCAAGTTTGGGAGGGACCATTCTGATGACTATAATTGGACTCTAAATATTTTTTTTTTAAAGCTTGGCCCCATATTCCCATTACACTCCAAACACTTGTGATGTGTTTTGCCATCTACTTATCCTTACCCAAGTCCTTTGGATTGGGTTCATCCAGCATGCAGGACTATAAAGTGGTTTGGGCTACAGTATTTTTTGCACTGTGGTTATTGCAACATGTATTGGCTTAGCAAATTCAGTGACCCCTTTTCAAAAAATCAAGGTTTAGCTTCAGGTGTGAGTCCAGCCATTGGCCTTGTCCACGCAACAGGCTGAGCCCCGCAGGTTTTGGGTATGGACTTAAGGGATGGCTGAATCCAGCCATTGTGGTAGCAGGGTGAACTGTAGCTTACATAGCATTTGTTTTTAACCCAATTTGTGGTTGGTTATGAACCACAATTAAGCAAACCATAGCTTAGTATAATGTACTGTCCTGCTTATCAAATGTAATGGAATGCAAATGCAAAACAAAATGTATGATTGATGTTCATTAAGGAACAGGGGACTCTTTGATGTTCTTCAGAAGAGTGGGTTACCTGATCCCAATAATCCACACAAACCATGGCTTGGGCTCCATGTATGAACTCAGCCATCGCCTGGTCCTGCTTAGTAAGTCAGATGTTAATAAGGCCAGAAAAAGGCAGCTTTTTTCGCTCCTCGTAACTAGAGAGGCACCGAAGTTCAACAGGCAGCATTTCTCCGCATGTCCGGGCCACACCTGTTGAACTTCCACCTGCCACGCTGATAAGAAAAAACGCAGCAGCTGCATGGGGAAAACCGGCCGTTCCCATCGCTCCTCCTCAGAGGAGCGTTGGGTTAATCGCCGGGGGCTATTTTGGGAGAGATCCGCCATGCTATTCCCTCAGCTTTTCCCTCTTTCTGATTGGCTCCGACTCAGCCCTGATCCCGTCTCCTGGCCCTCCGCTCGCCTGCCAATCACCCAACTCCCACGGAGGATTGGGCGGGAACTTAAAACTGAGGGGAGACCAAGGCGGGGCGGTGTTAGAGACCGCTCGGCGTAACGGCCGTGTCGCTCGTGCGCATGCCCGGCAGGTGATGGCTTCCTCTCCCCCTCCGCTTCCTTCTTCGCCGGCGAGCGCGCGGCGGCCCTTGGCTTTCCCCTTCCCGGCATGCTCCGCGCAGCCGAGGCGTTGACGTCACCGGAGCCCGGTCTCCGCCGCCATTGGAGTTCGAAGGCTCCTCCGGCTGCCTGGGAGCCTCCTTTGCCTTCCTGCCTCTCCGTTTCAAGGAAAGGCGAGGGAGGCGGCGGCGGCGGCAGGGATTGAGAGGCTTGAGGCTGAGAGCCCGGGTAGCGAGAAGAGCGG